TTGGCTACATCCTCAATAGCATCCTGCTCTTGCTTCAAGTCTTCTGCGGTTCTTTCCCAACCTCTCCAGTACTTCTTCCAGTGAATAGGAGGACCAGATAGAATCCAATAGCCACCAGGCCTTAAAACTCTATCCACTTCAATCAGATACAAACCATCTGTGAAATGAAAGAAAACAACATGCTTGAATCAATGGAAGTTTTGTTGAACCATATTGATATACCAAATATTGATATACCAAAATTTTGTGGTCGTAATTGAGCTCCATTTTTATTAAATCATCCTGTTGTGCAGAAGTCCATGCTTTATATGTTGTTCAAACACAAGTGCAAGTTAAAATTGAGGGTGTACCATTTTGATGCCATGGTATCAAGCAACGGGAACAATGAGCCATGTCAAAAGCCCTTGCTGGGTAAGGAAGCCTTTGCGAAGCCATGATGCCAATCATAGCAGGAACTCCCCTCTCCAATGCAAACCAGACTTGTGCTTCATGCGTATCCCTTGGTGCAAAAGACATTGCTATAATGTCCCTCTTCAACAGGTATGCACCCCAACTCGCAACCTTAACACCCACAACAAAGACATAAACAATACACGTAAGGTTTGGAATGCTGATAATTCTCATGGAATATAACACATGTAGATTAAGCTATTTGGATAAGATACGAAAACAGATGTTGAGTAGAAAACATGATATTTTGGCAATTAACTTACACCACAGCCTGTGTCAATTGCAGTTCTGATGCTTCCATCAGTAAGAGGAATGAGCTCACTAATGTCATCAATATAAGCATCAGCTCCACGGGGGAACATGGTGCCTCCACCGGGGAATCTAAATCGGTCACCCTCAACTTGAATCCAATTCTGCACAGCCTTTTCAATGCTAAGCTCCTTATGGGGAATGTTATCATACCAGGCATAATCACGGCTTTGTGGCCATTTAAAAGGGGTCTTATATTTAGGAGGAGCAGGTATCAAGCAAAGAAGCAATTCATCCTTTGTTGGGCAATGCCTCTCTCTATATTTCAACATGTTCCTATCAAATTTCCTTCCCCTTCGAGGATCTTGGCAAGGAGTGTACTCACTATAGGACATGTCGCATGGTGGAATCTCATTAACTGAATCAGTGTTGTTGAACTGAATCTGATGATGGCTATTAAAGTCCAAGACAGCTGATTCTGATGATGGATTGGAACTAACCCCGGCAAAGTTTGAACCATCACAAGCTACTTTAGTGACGGACTGGGCTAGATTTGTGGGGGCTGCGGTATGCTGCCAAGCTCCCAAAACATAGAACAAAACGCAAAGGCCACTGACCCCAAGAATCCAAGTTATGCGCTTTCTCTTTGCTTCTAGCTGATGCTGCTTTGGTGATCCATTTGCCATTTTTATTTCTAATCAACACTGCAAATATCTCAAACACAAAAGAAACGAGCGGAAACAGATTTAGAGACAGGAAGGTCTAGGTGATGGAATTGTTGAACAAGCAAACTCATCATTTTTATAAAGCTGTCAGCCTCATCAAAAAATCAACACTGCACGCCAAAAAGCTCCACTTCCACACATGGACTCATGATTTCATTATTAATTTTGTGAAAAGGAAAAGAGACATGCCGCCAATCTGGCCGAAAATGATGGTCATAATGACACCAGCTAGCAACCTATTCATGAACTTACAGTGATCTGTAGAACCAATGAAGAGCTAGCACTGAAAAAGACATGACAAAATTCAAGGGCAATTTTCGTGATTTACTAAACAGAGCAAACAGAGAAGAGACAGAGCATGGATTGATTACTCTAAATTCCATCAGGGAAAAAACCCTTGAAGATGGAAATTAAGGGTAAAACAAACAAGTAAGCATTAAAAATGTTGAAAAAGAAAATAAAAAATCCAATGTGACAAAAACACAGCAAGATCATTACAACCCTAAAAGCAAACACCAACATGTAACAACATTTCTTCCGAGGAAGTTGCAAGATGGTGTAAGAAAGTTACAGATACAAAGCTTACTTTTGTTCTCTTTTTTACCTCTAGTGGTTAGATAAGCAAAGCTTACCTCTTTCTAACAACATAAATTAGAGTGTACGAATCAATATTTTCCAACAGGAAATCAACTTTTTACAGCTTTTTTCCTTTCATCTTTCTTTCTTTAACCAACAAAACGCAAACCCACAAAGACAACCTCAACAGATCCACAAGAAACATATCTGTACATTTTCTTGAACTACTAAGAGAAGGGTGTCTTTTTTCTTTTTTTAAAAAAAAAGAACAGGGAGGCAGTAAGGAAGAAGAAAGTACAGTACCTGTAGAAGGAGATTCTCTCTCAGCTTAACAAACCCTTCGCTCAAAAATAAAAGAATAATCAAACAAGAAGCTACAAACTCAGCATGGGTATTCTTTAGCTTCTATCTAACTATCCTCTGATTAAATTACCAGCAATGACGAGAAAATTAATAAGAGGAAAAGGGAAAGATGGCTAAGGAAACCATCGAGCTTAAAAAAGGTCAAGAAGGGAACATGAAGACAAAGAGACAGAGAAAGGGAGTGGTTAAGGTTATAAAAATATGGAACATGTAAAGGAAACATAGAAAGTCTCCACCATTACAGGAACAAGGAGGTGGGGTGGTGGACTAATGAGGAGAGAGTGTGTGGTTCACTTGGATTATGTCTTTTGTTAATAAGTTACAAAAATGGAGGAAGGTGGTGACTGGTGCGCCTTGATCTTGTGGGATTTTGATTTAGTAAAAAACAATAGACAAGGTGGTGGCAGGTTCTGAGCATTCACAGGAGACTGACCAGCCTCTTTTCACTCCCCTTCGTCTAGTTCTTCTCCTTCACTAACTTCTATTCTATAATTGTCTTTCTACTTGTATTTTTTAAATTATTTAACCTTTTCCCCATCTTTTTAGGCTCGTAATCCTAACATCTAATTCAAAAGCCAGCTTAGCCTCTTACAATTACAATTATTACATTAAAAAAACATGAGCTGATGCTTTCAAGCACGTACATTATTATTATTATTATTATTATTATTATTATTATTATAATATTATAGATTATAGAAAATTCTAACTCAGTATGCGTCCACTATACACCAGGCCACAATGGACTTTCTCGTGTCTAAGACTTGGATGGAAGGTATTTCTATCTTTTCATATAAAATAATATTATTATTCTGTTATTTGATTGAGATCAATAGAAGCATTTGATGTAGATATATTTTGACTTTTTATAATAATTAAAAAATTGATTGGTGGGATGTTAGTCTTTTTAATTTTAAATGTATAGTGAAAAAAATATTCCACTTCTATTATCAACAAAAAAATAAATAAACTTGTAAATTAAGGTGTTTTTTTAATATTTCACAAACTTTTAAATAATAAAGATATTTCTCTATCTTAAAGGTCAGAAAAATAACTGGGTTGTAGACCAACAGCGTTTTAGGATTTTATGGATTTTATGCAAAGATATTTTGATTTTTTTATATGTTTTTTAGTGATTAAAAAATTAATTGATAGTATGTCTATCTTTTTAGGTTTAAGTGTATAGTAAAAAAACCTATTATATCTCTATTGTCAACAAAAAATAAACTTGTTGATCAAGAAGTTTTTTTTGATATTTCATAGATTTTTAAATAATAAAAATACTTCTTTATCCTCAAGTTTATAGAATAATTAAGCTACAGACCAAAAGCATTTCAGATTTTTCATTTTCGAAGCAACAGAAAAAAATATGCATTTACCTTTTAAAAAAACAAAAGGCTAGTTTATGCATTGAGTGTTAATAAAAAAAAACTAGATATGCAAACTTATGGCCTAAAGCCTGGATGTTTTTAAGGAAAAATCCAGATATATTAGCCTTCAAATTTAGACCTGGATGCATGGGCTTGATTTATTTTTTATTTTTTAAAAGAGATAGATAACATGTCTATTTTTTATAAGTAATTTCAATCTAAAAACATTTTACAAATATATTTTATAACATTTATAAATTAATTGTTTAACCTAAAAATTCCAAAAAATAATTCAAAAACCTGAAATTAAATAAGATTAAATTTGTCTTACTCGAATTATATCAATTTTCTTTAGATAATATTAAAATTCTAAACAAACACCATCAAACTCATCTCATTACATGGAATATGTAAACTCCAAAATAAACTATTTTATTGATCTAGAAAGATAACTTTCTCTTTCAATTTATTATTTTTTTTCAGATTAGATATTAAATATATATATATATATATATCAAAATTAAATTGCAAAAAATTAAGAGCCCAAATGGGTATAATTTGCAAAAATAAAGGACTAAATTAAACTTTTTTTGAGAATTTTAAATAAACCATCTATTTTTTATGCCTTTTCCACACTAGTTATCGTTATTTTCACATTGTTCCTAATTAATAAATTTGAATAAATTATCATTCAATTTCCCCATAAAAGAATATAATTGTCAAAATAAAATAAAATTGAGGACTTGAAAAAAAAGTTTAATGAAGAGTGAATAACACACATATGTGTTTGTTAATAACAATTAGAGTCTGTTTATTTATGTGCCAGCCGTTTCTTTTAAAGTAAAACACAAAAATAACGTGTTTAGTTAATGTTAAAATTTAATTTATTATTTGTGGAACCTATAAAAAATTGCATTGCCACCACAGATTTGCCGAAAACAGCTGAGAACTGCTCCTCCCCTTCTCCTACTGTCTTGATAATGAAAAATAGCTTCACTGTTCATAATCTTGGTCTATAGGAAAAAGAGAGGAGGTGATGTTGTAGAGATAAACAGATGGTGAAAGAAAGAGTGATGGGGGATCCATCGCTTTAGGTGTTGGCATGGTAGATGGACAATCAAAGCGAGCTAAGCCACAAAATATTGGGCACGCAGACGATGATGCTCGTTATGGGATAGCAGCCAGTGATGCTGTTGAAGAAGCAGATACACTAGCAAATACATTACTGGTTAAGCTAGTAGAGCTTGTGCTTGTAGCTAAGACATTCAGGTATATAAATGTTGGTGTTGGTGGTGAAAGTCCAGATAGATTTTTTTGTTAATTCTGTGATGAGAAACAGAGAAAAAAAATACGAACCCAAAGGTAAAAAGAAACTCACTAAAAAAAATAACTCAGTCAATCTCAAGAACCAAAGAGAAAGGGATCTGCTAGTAAAAAAATGGTTTTTTGTTTTGAAAGATGTAGTGCTATGATTTGAAGCGATTTTTTAAGTACCTCCGGCCCGCCCTTGCTCAGAAGTGACTGTGCATATAGGAAAAGCAGCGAGTGCCGTTGTCAGCTTGTTCAAGATCCATGCACAATGATTCCATTAATATAATATGGTGAGTGAGTGCATTTTCATGCCCAAGTTGAGACACTTTCATGGTTGTTTTCACGATTGGATTTGTTTTTGAAGAAATTCCCCTTCTTTCTGCATTGAAAGGCACCCCCAAACCTGTGGGTGGGTCTGTTAATACCATAGTTGTTTGTTCACCGGGAGAACTGGGGATTTAAAATATGATTGGGGTTACCGGAACTTGGTTAAATAATTTTTAAAAAAGTTTTTATATTAACCTCTTGACCCAGCTTTTTTCTAAATTAGATTTTAAAATTTTATCCAGATCATGGATGATAAAAATAGTAAATATTGCTCGAAACCTGGACCAACCCATGTTAAAGTGAAAAAAAAAAAGAACTCTGCTAATCCAAATCTAACAAAGTCAGAATCTAATCATCAACTCATTTAATTTTTTTTGTTTAAATAATAATATTTTAATTTAAAAAAAATAGAATTAACCTTCTTATTTGAGTTTTTTTCTAATTAATTTTAAATTAGATTTTAAAATTCTACTCAGATCAGATCACGATAACTATAGTAAATATCATTTACTTTTTTTTAGCACGAGCAATTATAATGAAAGAGGTTAGGAGAAACAGATAGGAGGATTACTGCATTATACTGCTGTTCTTGTGTGTTTTTTTCTTTTTTTTTGTTATCTTTTTGTTTATTGATAGGTTTCACATGCCTTTAAACTACACTATAAAAATAGACCTTCCCTTTCTTGAATCTATAAAATCTTAAGGTTTAATTATCGCTGAAACATTTCTTTCTTCTTATGTATGATTACTCTTTTATTTTTGGTTTGGTAACGTATTCTTATTTTTCTTTTTCAACTTTACTTTTGAATTTTAAGTTTTTTTTTTAGGTATTCGGAGGCCTTGGTTTAGCTAATAAATGATCTCGCTTGATTATTTTAAGTTATAGCTAAAAGAAGTCATAAAAAAACAAAATTCATTGAAATTCCTCAATTTAATTATCAATTCAAGACCTAATTAAAAAAAAAACATGTTGTCTTATGCACATTACATTATATATACATTACCATAGTTATTAAATTTAATCCAATCATATAAGTTAACCTAATAAAATTTAGGATTTAAAGTGTAATTTAGGTCGAGTTTTAATTTGAACTAATTTTAATATTAACTCAGTTAAACCAAAACGATATATAAAATTGATTGAGTCGAACTTCATCTAAATCAGGTAAGATCAGGACTATATAATTTAAAAAAGTTAACAATATCGATTTACTAACTCACAAGTTGACCTCATAATCCAACAATCCAAATCCTGCAGATCTTATACCCCAGACCATGTAAATATGGGATTGATATTACGATAATTTGTGTGATTAAGATTTTTTTAAAAAATTAAAAATTATGACGTGTGTTAGTAAAAAATTATACCAAAAAAACCCTAAAGCTCTGCATGCCAGAAAAGAAGCTAGCTCTACGATACCTTGAATGATAAGGAAAAAAACAGTTGTGTATAATATAGGTGAGAAATAAATTCTACATGGTGATGGTAATAAAGGAAGAGCATCACACGAGATCAGAAGTAAAGGATCAAGGAAGGTGCGAGAGGAAGCAAGAGAATCAAGCGCCCATTTCACTGGCCGAGGAAAGCAGCTGCCCATGGCTAGAAGATAAAGGGCTACAGAGCACGAGGCTACCGTTTACCTTATCAGGTTTTAATTTTGTATAGTAAATTATTACTATTTTAAGTTTTATATACTTTAAAATTATTAACAATTCATATAATAATTAATTTTAAAATTTATAAAAATATATAAAAGCTGTTCCGGACACCACCTAAAAAAAATAAAGGGACATGGATTTAGATAATGATGTGATGGAAGTTGGCGGCGACGCAGACAT